AAGGAGAAGAGATTGCGGCATGCCCATCCCCCTTGGGGGCGATTTCTTACTTTCTGTCTCTCTGTCTCTCCAGCAAGCGCATGCGCCCTGTAGCAGAAAAAACCTCTTAAAAAAAGAAAGAAAAGAAAACTTTAGCTCATTATCTACCTCTGGTGGGTGATTTTATATACATATATGTGTATACATTCATATACATATATGTGTATAGAAAACATATGCATGTAAAATATGCAATATATATGCATGTGTGTAAAATATGTGCGGAGAGGAGGAGGCTGATGTTGCAAAAAGATTTTCAGAGGAGGTCATGGGCCCATCATTGTCTGGGGACCCAAACACCTCTTCTTTCCTCTATAGCTCAGGAGACTCTCTTCTTAGTCTCACAGGAAATTCCTCCTTCAGAGCAATTCCCCTTCTCTCGCTGTTTTCCCTGGAGGCACCTAACGTAATTGTTTCAGTGGCTCAGGCTCTTGAAAACAAAAGCTAGGAAGGAAAGTGGTTTGGGCTACTGTTTGCTTCCATCCTATTACACAACTTCTTTTTTCAAGAAAGCCTGTTCTTTTATTTTTATTAATTTTTTTAAAGAATTATTTTCTTGGGGGCTGGACTCCCACATGGCCGACCACAGTTTGAGTCCCAGACCTGGCAGCTTGCTTTCTCTCTCTAGAGAAGTCTAAGAATTATTTAATTAAATTAATTAATTAATTAATTAATTTTTTTTTGGAGAGATTTTCGCTATAGGGTGTGTGCGCTCGCCAGACAGACAGAGACATAGAGACAGAAAGCGAGAAATCACCCCCCAGGGGGGATGGTCACGCTGCAATCCCTTCTCCTCCATTCTCCTCTCGGGATCTTGGGCACCTGGCTTGAGTTCTAAGCCACCAGGTCCGGTACTCGAACCGTGGTCGACTATGTGGGAGTCCAGTGACATAGCCATTACGCTAACTGCTGGTTCCCAAATTAATTTATTTATTTGAATTTAATCAGAGAGAGAAAGAGTGAGAAAGAGAGAGAGAGAGCCACCCGGTCTGGGACTCAAATCGTGGTTTGCCATGTGGGAGTCCAGCATCCTTAACCAGCACACCACCTGCTGGCCCCTATTTTTATTCATTGTTTAAGGTTATTTATTTCTTCCATGACTGAGACAGGCAGAGAGAAAAGCAGACAGGCAGCAGGCCCCCGGGTCTTGACACCTCGATCATCCTCAGCTTCAGGGGTCCATGCTGCCACATCCTCAGGGAGGTCTTCGGGCAAAGGGCCAGGGTGGGTCAACCATTGCATTTCAGAGCTGGGCCACCATCTGGCCCCTATGCTGTTCTTGACTGAGATAAAGAAAATGGAAAATTGCAAGTAGAAATGAAGAAATACCTAAAAGCTCCTGCTGCAGCACTGCTTAAGCTGAATTGGGAGCATATCAAACATCTTGTTTTTTAAAGTTAACGGTGTATAGCAGACGCTTTCCAGCATAGTAAATTTCTTTGAAAGCATCTTGTCTAATGGCTACATAATGTTCCCTCCTGTGAAAAGGAGCCCTTTGAGAAAGCTGCAGATATCAAGGAGAAAAGAGCGACCTGCGAGTGCCCCACACTGCCTGTGGTAGGCAGCTGGCAGATGTCTCTGGCAGGGACCAACTGAAAGGTGGGATGGATAAAATCCACAATTTGCAGAATCTGGGCTAGACTAAAGATGCTCACCCCGTCACCATTACCACCATCTTCATTTCCCACGGTTACTACTTATTGATCACGTAATGTGTTCAAGTATTCACTATCCTATTTATTTACTTTATTTATTGCCAGAGGGCACATGCACTTACCAGAGAGAGGAGGGGAAGGGCACATCCCCCCTCAACACCTCCCATAGAGTATGGTCATAGTACGATCCTTTTTCCCTCCATTTCTCCATCCTATCAGGATTCCAGGCATGGATGCACACATGCCTGGCATGTTCTTCAAGCTGCAGGTTCATGTGGGATCCAGGCCCTAATGCACCACCATGCTTAACCACTGTGATCTTATTTCAACCATCAGAGTTCTAATTCTCCAAACTAAGGATGCATGGTAACCTTCCAAAGTGTGTGCTATTGATGCAGAATCTCATCCTTTTTCTTCCTCCATTCTCACTGTTTGGACTGAATCAGGGCCTGGGCATTCCAGAACTCACAAAGAACGCCCTGTTGACTCTGTGGCAGGTGAGTCATTGTTGTTGAGACATGCCGGAAGATGAGCCTTAAAGAATTTAAATAGCATCCCTAACAAGACCTCCGACCTGAGGCATTCTGGCAGCATCCTTTCATCCCTTTCCCCCTGGGTCCTGGGAAATGTTCTTTTCTGGCCTCTCCCACCTCTCCTCCCTTCTCCACCTGCCACACTGTGTGTCTTATTTCTTCCAAATAGAGCGTGGCTCTGCAAGAACTATCCAAAGGGCCTTTGTTCCCAGCTACTCCTTCACATTTGCATTCAACCTGTTCCACTGCATCCTGAAGTCTAGATCACTTTTTTTAAAAAAAGAATTATTTATTTCATTTTATTTATTCATCCACTTATTTTAATTTGACAAGAGACAGAGAGGGAAAGTGAGAAAGCAAGCCATCAGATCCAGAACTCAAACTGTAGTTTGATCAAATACAGAGTCTCAGGCTGCACCCCTGCCCTCCTGAGGCAGAATCGTACGTGTATCACAGCTGGAGCGCCTGCGCCCTAGACAGTTCTCAGTCAGAGGTCGATCGGATTATTTGAAGCAATTCACCACAAAAGCAGTCATTTCTCAACCCTGCTTGCAACTAGAATCATCTGATATTCTAAAAAGTGCTGATGCCAGGATCCCACCCCCAGAATTGAATCAGAATCTCTGTGACAGTGGGTTTATTCATCTTTGTTTTTCTTTTCTTTTTAATAGTTTCTTTCCTTGATGTGAGAGAGAGAGAAAGAGAGAGAGAGGCACCCTCAAAGGCACCATGATTCGGCTCCCATCGCTAGCCTTTCAGCCCGTCGGGATCACAGGCATGTTTGTGCTCCCAGTGTGTATGAGCCCATCCAGAGACCAGACCCCGATTTCCACATGGCTCCCAGCATCGCAAGAATTGCACTACCACTGCACCATTGTGGCTGGGCCCTCTGTATTTTTAAATATGCCGTGGGTAAGTGCAATGTGAAGTCAGGGCTCAAAACTAATGCTTTTTGGGGACCAGCAGATGGTGTAATGGTTGCATTGCTGGACTCTCAAGTAGTCAACTGCGGTTTGAGTCCTGTACCCGGTGATTAAAACTCACGCTGGTTGGGACCAGCAGTTAGCGTAATGGCTATGTCACTGAACTCCCATGTAGTTGACCACGGTTCAAGTCCTGGACCCGGTGGCTTAAA